TCCACCAAGCATCACGCCCTCCAACTTCTTCGCAACCTTACCAAACACACCGCAGCCTCCTTTGAAGCAGCCAAAGAGCTACGAAGCGGCCGTCACACAGACCTCGAAGTCTATGCAATCCGGCGCATGGCCGCAAACCTAGAAGAACCTGGCCGCAGCCGAGCTCTCCACATCCTCAACAAAGCCCTGATCTACCGCAACCTTACACCGCCAAAACCAAATATTCCATTGACAGTACCCTTCTTGGCCCACGACGACTTCACTAAGCACTGCCAGCAATGGCTTCGTACCACCATCCAGCAGCACAAGCATTTCACCATCCCCCTCCACCTCCCCTCCCACAGACTGAGAGAAGCCGCACACAAAACCCTCCGTTCCCACCTGCATAACCACCGCACATGGGAGGACACCCTCCACTCCCCGCCAGATCCAGCAGACCTCCCCTGCGCATGCGATCACCTTCGCACCCTCTTGCAGGATCCCGATACTCCCACCATCAACGGCCACTACATTCTTACATTGGACCAACTCCAACTCCCTACACACCTCGGCATTTTTCTCAACGCCAACATGAACAGCACCTACTACCCAAGCAAGGCCCGATACTTCCTCCTATTCAAGACGGCCTACACAAAATGGCTCAAACTACCGGGGCTTCCGCCATCCCTAGTTCAGCATTTGCAGCCATTCCTTGAGCACCAATGGCGCCTCCACAACACACACCTCAAACACCAACCCCGTTTTACGGCTCGCCTGCTTCGCCAACTCCAAGAACATCTTGGCAAACACACATTACTCCACCACGCCGACCATGAGCTCCAACAACTCCGGCTGTTTTGCCCTCGCCAATATTTCACTGGCGCCTTGAATACCTGGCAATCCCCCGAACTTTTCGAACCACTTCCCTACATCACTGCCGCCAATATCCACGACCACCTGGCCGCCACTGTCCCCCCCATTTTGCGCACTCGCTACAAGTGGGGCTTCCGAAAAGACTTCAACATTCCCTACGGCGTTGTCCACCTCAAGGAGAAGAAGCACTGGCAAAAAGGCCGCACAATTATTTCATACTTCCAATCACTCAGTGGCAACCTGCTTCGCATTACCAGCCGTGCCCTTGACATCATCCTCCAACACCTCTACCCTCAGCATCCCGGCCAAATGTCCATTCCCCAGCTTTGGCACCACTTTCACAGCTACCTCACCCAAACCCCACCAGACATCTCACTACACGCCACCAACGATGACCTGGTCGGCTTCTTCAACTCAGTCCCACAGCACCGACTCATCGATGCAGGTCACTCCCTCGTCCACCACTGGCAACAACAGCAACCCACACACACCTTGACGGTGGATGTCCAGGCCACCGGCAATCCTTTCCACCACTCCCACATTGGCAGACACCATCGGAAACACCCCACCCAACGCACCATCCAGACTTCCGACATTACCACCATCGTGGCTTTTGCCCTCAACACACGCATTTTCCGGGCTTGCAACAATACCTACAAACAAATCCGAGGGGCCGGGATTGGATCCCAGCTCTCTCCAGCCCTATGCAACGTTGCCATCACCCTCATTGAGCATTCCTGGCATCAGATTCACAACAACCTCCTCCAACACACAGACCTCCACTTTACTTACTATCGCTATGTCGACAACCGTTTCATTGTCCACAACGAACATTTCCTTCAACACCCGGCTATCCAAACCCTCATCCACCACAATTTCTTTGGCGACCCTGTGGAACTAGAACCGGTGGAGGACTTTCATCTCCTCGGTTTCAACATCGACCTCTCACAACGCACCATCACCTACACGCAACCTTCTCAACCCTGGAAAATCCGGGATTCCACCACTGCCGGGAGCCAGCGCTTGGCTCTATCAGGCCTCCAATCACGACTTCACACCATTCGAAAATACACATTTCCAACCTCCAGCGCTGACGCTGCTGCGGCTGAACTCGTGAATCTATATGTCCAAAAGGGGCATAACTATCACGCCTGCCACCGGTTTTTGAAAAAGCGCCGAACGCGGCGACTTGTGTGTGTCCACCCCTGGACAAAGGGTCTTCCGCCACCACTCTTTCCGGACTTTTCACCTACCTTGGACCACCACTTTACATGAGCAGGGGGCAGAGGGATCTCCAGTTGTGGCCTCTGCCAACGAAGCTCCACACTGGATGATCAGGAAAACGTACCTGCGCCGTGACACTACTCCACTCTTCCGTGCTGTGGTTTGATGCCATGGTTGTTGATCACGATACTCTCCCTTCAAACAGGTTTCAGTTCTCAGCCACCGGAGAGCTACAGTCAGCCGCTTGTGCCTTGCAGCTAGCCGCGCGAGTGAAACTTTTTTCAACAATTCAAATCTTTGGACCTTTTCGCCTTGCTGTTCCATCACCTTCCTTCCCAACGTGGTAACTGAGTCACTGAATACAAGTGTCAGAGTGTATGTATGTGTGCCCCTTGTAGTCACAGGGATCCAGTTGGATTGTTTTTTTAGAAGCAGGGGGACTGTCTACCCCACAGAAGTGACAGTCCAACGAAGAGGCTTCTGTGGCGGTACTGATATGGATTCTGAACGCAGAATCCACGTACCTGCAATTTTTCGAATGGCATGAGGCTAAGCCCAGAACCTCAAAGACTTGGTACCTAAGCTGCTGCAGTCACGCACGATCCGTCGTCATCCCGTCGTTCCGTTCTCGCTCTTGAGCTTTTGGCCCCATTTCCGTTTAAGGACCCTCAGGCCCCTTTAGGGTTCTCCTGGACCTTTCAGGATTTGGGTCTCTTAGGCTGGCGTGTGGCACCGCATTCAGTTCAGTACACCCTATCCTAAGTGTGTCTGGCCTCGCGCCAGCCCGGGATGAGCCCGTAGAGTGCCTCCCGTGGACCCGTCGAACGGGTGTTTGTCGTTATCTCCCTTGCCCGGAGATGTAAGTGCCCGAAGCGGGCGAAGGTGGCCTAGGCCGAAAGAACTCCGTTTTGTCTCATTTTTGGAATTCCAAGTTGGCTTATGCCTTTACGTGACCGCAGCGGTCAAAGGTGGCAGCCCTCGGGCAAGCCGTACGTGGTCGCAGCGACCAAAGCCTGTTCAAGGTTCATTGGAACCTGTCCCATTCTCAGGTGCACACACAGCGCTTACATGCAAACTAGGCGAGGTCTTCCTAGGTGTTTCTAATGAGGTTCGGCTTCATCGGTTCTCGTCCCCTCCATTTGGTTCCCCTTTTCATCCTTTCCCTTTTACACACCTTTTGTTTCCTCTTTTCTTTCATGTCCTCCTGTCTTCATGTCTAGTCATCTCATCCTTTTCTTCGTTTGCGCACACATTGGTACCGGCCTTAGTGTGTACGTGCACTTCTACATACCTTCATACACAGGTTTCAGGTCGCCCAGGTCTTTACAATGAGGTGGGCTTCATCGGGTGTCCCTGTGCACTTGGTTCCCCTTTCATTTCCACCACACACACCTTTGTCCCGTCTCGTCCTCCTGTCATGTCTTCATTCTTTTGTCTCTTGTGCGCGCAAACGTGCACATTGGCCCTCACCTTAGCTTTACGCCTCCCCTCGGGGAGGCGTGTGTGTGTGCCCCTTGTAGTCACAGGGATCCAGTTGGATTGCTTTTTTTGAAGCAGGGGGACTGTCTACCCCACAGAAGTGACAGTCCAACGAAGAGGCTTCTGTGGCGGTACTGATATGGATTCTGGACGCAGAATCCACGTACCTGGCATGAGGCTAAGCCCAGAACCTCAAAGACTTGGTATCTAAGCTGCTGCAGTCACGCACGATCCGTCGTCATCCGGTCGTTCCGTTCTCGCTCTTGAGCTTTTGGCCCCATTTCCGTTTGAGGACCCTCAGGCCCCTTTAGGATTCTCCTGGACCTTTCAGGATTTGGGTCTCTTAGCTGGCGTGTGGCACCGCATTCAGTTCAGTACACCCTATCCTAAGTATGTGTACACCTTGGAATGACAGGTTACCTCTTAGGCAATTTAACGCAGGAGCGCTGAGCACTCGCTGGTGACTCTTGTGTTTGGGAAACCTCATACAAACCCATTACACCTTCTGCTTGGAGACCTTGGTTATGCACTTTGTGTACTCCCTTGCTCACGCTGTTTCCAGCTCCATCAGGTTGCAGTAAAGTGCTAATTAGTTCTGCAGATGTGCACGGTCGTCATCACCCTGTCGCCATGAGCCACGCTTAGAGAACTTCAAGACCGTTGGGGCTTTGGAGGTTTTTCTTGTTCAGACCTACGGTTTTTACTCTCGGTACTCTCAGGCTTTCATACCTAGGTGGGCGCGTGGGATGTGGCATTCAGTTCAGTACGCAATATCTCGAGTGTGTGATTTAATGGCTCCTGCAAAACTCTATGGTCCAGTGCTTGAAGGCAACACTTCAATGGTCATCACCCAAAACTTCTGTGAGAGTTATATTTAGATATACTATACAAATAAATATATATATATATATCAAATGTAAGTACCAAATTCTCACTCCCGCATGCTGCAAAGTGCAACAAACAAACCAATGTCAATTGCCCCACGCATTGGTCCTGAAGAAGGTGGGTTGAAATTCGTCAGCTCTGTATGTGAAACAAAGAGGCTGCCTCTGTACAGCATATCCAAAAATTTGCAAAAATTTGACAGGGAATTTCATGAGTGATTCAATTGTTGGAGGTCTCTTTACCCCACATCACCTTGAACAAATTATAGCTTGATAACAATCTTAATAATCTCAATAGGGTAGGAGACAAGAGGTCTAGTGTTTTTGTTTTGTATAAATATAAACAAGAGGCCACAATTAAAGTAATCCTTTGAGCATCATCAAGTAATATGTAAAAATCTATTCTATTCTTGAAAGGAACAAATTATTTCATGGACGATCCGACCTGGCATTATTTATTATTTTATGTTCTTTTTAACGCATGGAGTGCCAAATAAAACCTCGATAAGCCACACTACAGCCCTCCTTCACCACAGCCCAACAGCCAAATCCCCTTCTGGCCTGGCTCTGCTTTGGATGGGGCCATGGCAGTCATTGCGGAAGACTTTGAAGCGCCTTTCACCGCCTTGGTGGCAGGGTGGGACATTTGAGCAATGATCAAAACTGTTGTGAAAAATGGAACCTTGAAATGGCATTGGCATCGCTTTTTAATGTTCTGGTATCGTTTTCCAAGGAAACTGGACACTCACATATTACATCACCTTATACCCGTAGAAACAACAGAAACCTCTTGCTTCTTACAAGCTGGGCCAGGGTCTAGCAAAGCAGATTTTTGTAGGTGTTGGCATCGTTTTGGTATCGCTTTTTTGCTTCGCTAACCATATCATTTTTGGGGGAACGCCAAACACATGCAAAACAATACTTGGCCATATTCAAACAGCACAAACCTAGTCATCCTAGTTTCAGTCATTACCATGTAATTCACAATTGGCTTAGAAGCAGCAGCGAGCAATTCATTGAGGTGCAAATGCAAATCCACTGAAACAGGTATCATTTTCATGTGCACATATTATGTGCAGGGGTTGAATGCTGTTGAGTATTGGGAACAGTTCGCATCACCTGCCAAACGGAATCATCGATCTGTTTAAACACCTGAAATGGGTCTCATGGAGAGTATGAAATAGTACGAAATTAGGAAGTGTCTGGTTTCAATGAAGAGGCTTCAGCGTAACTTGTAGGTTCACTATCACGTACACAAACTCAATTTGTACAGAAAGCCTTGATGTTCCAAATGTTTCTCTGTGACCCACACACACTCTCTGCTCACTCTCTTAGATTGGATACTCCGTAGTACTCCGCATGTTCCCATTCGGGTCTTGTCAACATTTGACATGGACCATCCAAAACGCTTTTGGTTGAACAATGTGTGCGCCCACGCATGCATGCAACCGCATATATTCTACGAACAACTAAGACACCATGACCCGACAAGCCACATCCACATCTTCCGAAGATTTTGTTGCGCCATCTCCTGACGGTGCAGTGTGCAACCTCACCGTCAGAGGCTCCCCCTCCTTGATGTCCAGGTCCTGGTCATCGTCAAAACAGAGGTGCAAGGTCAACATTAATTCAAAGCCTTTACTGATCTTTTGATATCTTTTGGAGTGAAGTGCAAGAGAAGGCGTCCAGACCTAGCTTCTGATTCCCTGTTCAGGAACCCGGTTTAGCTAATATTTGGCAGCTTGTCTCTGTCTCACTTCTCTTCGTTCTAGCTGGGCCCGTAGGTCTTTGAGAAGCCCTCTCCTTGATGGGTGTCTGGCCATCCAGGACATTCTCCGAATAAAAGAGCATTTGCTGATCCACTGGAAGCCTGGGGTTGAAGGAAACTCCTTCCACCAACTCTGTCACTGAAATCCAGTCGCCCAATTGAGGCGCGTGAGTCAAATTTCTAGGGCCAAGAACTCCTTGTGCTTCGCAAAGATGTGCTTCTTCAAGTCTGCCACTGTAGCCTTGCCGCTGGAGATTGACCCTCCATCAGTGGTACCAGAAAGTTGATTCACTTGAATTACTGTATCTTTTCGCATGCATACTTGATCTTGTTTTTTCAAACAGCTCTGCGGCATCCAAACAATGGGGACCCCATCAATCGGTGCAGAATTCAGAATGCACAGAGTTTGAAGGTCACCGGTCTGGACTTGCCAAGCATTCTGTATGGGAACAACTTGTAAAGTAGCCTGAAAAGAAAGGAGACAACTTGCGACCCCAACTGGATGGTTGCCAGAGAGGCTGCTGCCCTGCGCAACCTGACTAAGCCGGCCTCGAACTCAACTTTCACCTTGAAAGTGTCCCCCTTCCACTTGCAGCTAATCTGACGGGGACATCCATGCAAAAAAACAGTGTGGCTCTGATTCAATCAACTAAAGCAAGAATGCAGTGGTGCTGTGTCACAATCTGAATTGCTTTCTATATATTGTCACTCATTGAACTAGACAAATGCCTTTCTGATCCTTTCTCTCTGCCTCTCTTCATTCTTTCTACGTCAATGTCACGTAAGAATGAGCGCAATGGCCGAGCACTTGCCATCAATCACCTGGCCTCGCGCAACTCTGTCGGTGGCGACCACTTCACCGCGCAGTGGTTTGAAATGCAGCCATCTTGCTGTCGATGACGACGAAGATCCCGTTTCTGGCAATCCCTTCCGCAGTAAAACACCTCAAAGAGCACAAGCAAAAGATCTCACTGCTCGTGTAGTGCTGACACTCTTTGTGAGTGGCCCTTGCTGGCATGCAAAAGGTCCAATCTGGCTTTAAGGTGGCCAAGCTGCTTCACGACACAGGGAGCATCTCCTTGTCAGCAAAGCTGTACGTGTGGACTCTCAGATCATACCACAAAGAAGGCTTAGACAAAATGAACTAGCTTGAGGCACGGCCGAAAGCAATGGAACCCCAGGAGGAAGATCTGTTTGAGCACGTCTGGGCTGGGTTCCTTGTGTGGTTGAGCATGGTTGAGCCAAACAAAACTTACTGCCATGACTTCCGTCAAATCCTGTCCCTGCTTCAGCATGTTTGGGGGATAGTTTAAGAACAACTTTTGAACTTGATGATACTGCAAAGTTCAGTGCTTGATAGTGCTTAATCTACCACAGCCAAGGCTCTTCAGGTAATCAGACTGACCACAATGTGCGCATTGCTGACTCGCCATGAGGCAACGACAGCAACGCCAACAAATGAAGGTGTCCAATGACTACAAACAATGTCGCGTGCGGAGCTGCGGTCAGATCCAAATTCCTGCCAATCCCACCACTGAGATTCACGTCTTACAAACAGTCTTTATGCAATACAACGCTGTCCAAAATCCACTACCCTCGGAATGTTGACCCATCGAATGGCCCATAGCGACCTTTTAGAATGAATCAGAACTGAAACGCTGAGCGATGTTATAACAAGATAGAACCACATCGCTCAAAAGGCTAAGGTTATTCTAGGGCTGATAATTATTAAAGGAAATACAACACACTTACGCCAACAAGGCAGCCGTTCACAAGTTGCGAAATTACGCAACATGTACTATGGATACCAGCGCAATGTGCACCTGTAAGAGAAGACCCTGGCATATCTTGGACTGAACTTACATTGACATATTAATATATAATATTATATATATATAAGTAAATGTCTGGCTATTCAAAGGAATCCCACCACCTATTTGCAACCAAGGCAAAGGGATGACGGAAGCTCTCGCTATTGATCGTCCGCAAATTTGATTGCTCCCATCACCAAAGCCCGTGTCCAAAGTCAATGGAAATGAAAGAATTCATATACAAACCATATACACGCACCCGTCAGCGTCTCCGACCAGTCCAGTCTCAGACCCGCTTAACCAAGCTTGCTTGATAAGAGAGCATCACATGAGAGAAGACACTATATAAGTTAGTTTTCCTGTTGCACGCAGCCCTTTTGTGAATATAATATATATCTTATTATCATTATCAATTCATTCCAGACGAAAATCTGGTTAGAATAGAGAAGCACAAGCATCTAGCAGGAGTTGCTGAAGTTGGTTGTCAGCGCCGGCAACAGGAGAGTCATAGCTTTCCTCCCAGAGGATTCGATCCAAGGTTTACGGGGCCGACCAACTTCCAGCCGAAGGTGATAAGTGAGATAAGTTTTCGCAGCCTCCATGAAAGGTCACTTGTCGAAGGGGTCTTCGTCTTCTCTAGGTAGAATATCACCTATGAGTTCACATCGTTTTGAATGCGATGTCCTTTATGGTATACTATACACATTCATGTGTTTCCGCGGGTCGAAAGACAGCATTGGCTCTTCTGAAGACAACATTAGTGACAGATCTATCGATAAAGGTGGTTTTCAGATTGTGTCCTATTTATGTAAGTTCGAGACCATAATGGAGCTTGGAGCGAATCGCAGCAGCATAGAATTACTTGGAAAGAAAGGGCATCTGGCTATGTGGTTTTTGATTTCCAAGTTCAAGTTGACATTAGCAGCGAGGGTCCGCCTATAGGTAAGTTACTCGAGAAGCATTGTGCAAGCACTGCCCGCTGCTGAAACGGATATGTATAGTATTATTCCCGTTCATACTGATCACGTGACAAAATGGCCGGTATGGAGATCAAAACTCCAAAATACATAAATATACAATAATTAAATGTGGCACTGGGAGTCGTTTGGAAAGACTTGGCTTTACCAGGCGAGGCTGTGCGCATGCCATTACGATCAATTTTCCCATGTGCGGAACAGGTTGCAAAAGCACTGATTAAATACTATAGTGCGATACACCACAAAATGTGCCATCTCAAATGAATATCCCTTATTAGCGTTTAAGTCACTTCATCCGAAGATTACCATACCCGAGATGACTGAAATTCCATTCGACCAAAGACGCAAGACATAGCCATTTATCACACTTGCAAAACCACTTTGTAATTAGCATAGTATGCGCATGTATGCGCAATGTCTTTGATAGCTCAAATACAATCATGTCAGGTACTTTGCTTGGAGATATCCCCTTGTGCTTGTAACAAATTCACTTGGATTCATTTGGGATGTGTTCACTCCCTGCGCGCCGGATTTGGACGTCAGGTGCACAAAGTTGTGTCATGCGAACGAATGAAATTGATGCCAACAAAGTGCTTCTGAGCCAAGTCAGCCAGAGATGGACTCATGTTCATGTTCAGGGTTGTTTTGGGAACAAAAGGGGCGCTCGACCAAGGCACTCTGTAGCCTCTTGAAAAAGCATCTACGACAAGTTGGGATGTCCATCCATGCTGGCATGAGGAGATCTTGGTCTGCTGATCCCAAACTAGCAACAAACTACAAGCTGGTGACCGGCAAAACTGAATAGACCGTCGGGCTCGGTCGGGCTGCTCGCTGAGTTCCAAACCCTCCATCCAAGCGACCTCGCGAGCTCAGTACATCAAGCGATTTTATTTCCTCCACGATCATCCCATCCAATGGAGACCAACTGAAATAGAGTCATAGAGACATTCTTCAAACACAAAATTGATCTACTCAACATGTGAATGTGGAATATCTGCCAGGGTTCCACACTGTGCTCTCATGTTCCAGTTCTGTGGTAGAAACCCAGTCCGTCAATGTAGCATGCCAATGTGACGTGAAACGATGCCCCCCGACCCCGAAGACAGCGGTCAACGGCAAAAGCCATCATGCGCCGCGTGAATGATCGGATCTTCGTTTCGCATCATTGAACGGGATCATGCCTATTGGCAGCAGCGACAAGGCCGTGATGATGAGACCTTGGAGCCAAAGAAAGGTCACTGAGTCACTGAGTAGAGAATCGGAGCAAAGAACCCAACGCTTTGTTTGATGCGTTCCTTCAAAGCAACAGCTCAGAATACTTAGAGAAGCTGACGATGAGGCATAAATGGTCCCTTATTGGTACAGTGAAGAGCCGATCGAAGCTTCCGCTGATAGGGAAGCCACTACTACCCAGTATAGAAGTCTTCAAAAGGGGTTTTCAGGTGGACCTCCCTACCTAGTGGCTCTTCCTTTGGGGAATGCCGGTATGGCTTAAGCATTGGAATGAGGATACTGAGACATGATCTTACAAGCAAGGTTACCAAAAAGGGGTCAATGTGGGTGGTGGACGTCACCCCTCACCAGTGGGAAGAACAATTCTCGTCTTGAAACTCAGAAATTCTTGGATTCTTCCACGGGAAAATTCTATGAAGAAATACAACCGAATGCATTTTTAAACATGTGTCAACCAAACCACATCATCTCAGGTGCTTTCACGTGGCGACACTCTCTGAGCCTCACGCCCGCCACACCACCGATCTGGGCCGTGATGGGATGTTGTGACATGTGGGGACAGAAACGCCATCAAACACCACTGATACATACTGACACCACTTATAGACTAGGCAGTGAAAGAGCTTCAACTCTGCGAAGTTCCCCAACGTCCACGCCCTACATCCCCCTGAATAGATTGAATTGCAAGTTCTACATGGCTGGCGTGCGATGTTTGATCTAAAAGCCAAGGATATGATCTGCATGGATGACCCGCCATGGTCTCAGCTCACCCTCTTCACAGTCTCTTCACGCTCTTCAAGCCGAAAACAAGACGCAGCCCCTCTGAGGCGCTGGCGAGCAGTGGGTTGGCTGGGAAGGCTAAGATGGTTGGATCGGTGAAGGGATCCGGTTGCGTCGTCACTGACCTCGAGCTCTCGGAGAGCTTTAGAGAGACCTCGACCCAAATGGGATAAGATGGACTTCCAAGTCTGGTGATCTTCAATATCTTAGCCTGGCATATTGTAATATATTGTACATACTCCAAACTAAGATGGTGTTTGTTCGTATCCTCCTGTATGCTTCTTCCCACGGTTTAGAAGCTGAGGGCACAGCGACTGCCCCAAGAATGGCTTCAAAACAACGCGCAGCAGCACCTGAAAAAATATCGTGCTGCAATTGGGAGTTTAAAGTTCAGTGCAACCTCTTGGTGCCATCGGTTTCTACACTGCTACAAGGTTTGCGGTGTCGAACTGCTCAGCTCAGCACTGGGAGGATCTGGTAGCTCACATTCACAGAGTTGGCTGCATCCTGCACATCTCAAGGCTGCAAAAGCTGAACTTCTCAGGGGCCAAGGGGAACTGCAGGGGCATTGAGAATCTCTTTTTAAAATCTTTTAACATAGGGCCAAGCGCTCGCTGCCCTTCTGAGTGGCCAGGCCATCTTTTTTCCGCATCGATGCCAGCTGCATTTTGCTTTTCTTCGGCAAAAAGATGGATGGCTAGGCCGTCCACTAACGATCACAAGTGACCCCCTCAGATCACTTATGGAGATGCTTGCTCTCAAGCGTCCAAACAACAGCTTGTCACATGGATGAGATTCTCCTTTCTGACGAAGCTTTGTCAACGATCCTTGACATCACACAGAGTCTCAGAAATTCCCGATTAAGTTCAAAGCAGCAAAGGTTGAAAGTCTAGCAGTCTAGCATCCTCCCTCCAGCTCCGCTGGTTGGGGGCATTTCAAGCGTATGTCTCATTTGCATCACCACCTCAATTGCGGGAGCAACGAGGCGGTGGGTCGATAGATGTCGGAAAGGACGTTTGCAAACGCTGGGTACTTGTGCCAGATGCGTTCCAATAGCTGGGTACTCCGCGTTCCAATCGACGCAGGGTGCCTTTGTAGTTGTCGAGGTGATACCTTGCTCACACTGATTGGGGAAGAATTGACAAAGATCAGCCAATGGGATATACACTTGATCTCAATTTCGAAAACACTTGCGTGTTACATCATGATGTCCAAACTGTGCACTGTAGAAAAAACTCGATCAAATGAGTGTTTGTCATTGATTCGAGAGCTCACCATTCCTGACACTGACAGTCACTGACACTACACCTTGGACCCAGCTGGTTCCAGTTGTGCAAACAGTGAGACATTGCAACTAACCAATCACAAACTAAACGCTCTGAGTTCTTCCCAGTAGCGCAATGTGACGATCCGGCATCTTCAAAATGGCCTGAACCACGACATGTTGTCGGGTTCATCTGTCTGACAGGATGGCAGTTCATCTGTCTGACATGTTGTTGCACTCCCAACTAGCGACCCGGTCCTGTTTTGTGTCCTGTTTGAAGGATCTAGTTTTGCGAACATGGATGAAGAAGCCATGGTCGAAACCTGTTTCTATCCTGTTCTTTTCCCGTGGTGATTCAACCTAATTATATAGTGATACCATTAGATACTATGTTTAAAGATCCGACATCAACATGTTCCAGCCGCTTCTCCTCAGTGTTTACTTACTTTGTACAAAGAGGTATGCGGTATAATTAACGTCCAACTATGTCCAACTCCCCAAAGTCTCTGTGCAACTCCTGCCTCGGCCCAGGCTTCCCCGGCTGGAAGAATGCTGCGGAGCTGCTCCGCGCAGTCCGGGATCGTTGGGGCCTTGGTGAACTTTCGATCGGAGAGGGAGAATGACTTGTCATGAAGCTTCTTTCACCAACCATTCAGGTAGTTCAAGAATGGTAGCATTGCACAGGTCTTTATTCAGAATTCCAATGATTTGCAATCTGAGGCTACTGCCGGTGCCCCTGTGTTCATGACCTCATCCACGAAATCTGCATCCAGTGCCTCGGCAATCAAGTCAAAGGTAGCTGAGATCACAATGCAGCAATGCAGCCTATCTTAGCCTTCCCAAGATCTCCACTCACGACAATGTCGTCGACTCCCAAACATATTTTAAGACACGACACGAACCTATTGACGACTATTGAAATTGATTGCCTCCGTTTTCCACATGAGACGAATTGAGACAACCTCTCTCTCTCTCTTTCTTTCTCTGTCTGCCTCCACTCATCACTACTGCTTTCCCACCATTAAACTAAATCAAATCCCAAATCCCAAATCCGCTAAATGCCCACAGCCTACGCACCAATATACTTCCCTTTGAAACCACGCACAGCCTCAAGAAAACACATCCTCAGATCATCCTCCAGTATAGACTTCCTCCTAATTACTTCGTCCAAGGTACCCATTTGGCGACCCGCATCGCCGCGTTGGGCTCCAGCTGCGTCAAGGGATACTTCGACCCATGCGCCATGCGGCGGATGAGCTGCGAGGCGGCTCGCCGCGCTTGGTGGGGCCTCCGTTGGGTGTGCTTCGTCCGGTTCATCCGAAGGACAGGATGGGCCAAGAGATACCCTGTTGGGGGCCCAAAAAAAATCCGAAGGTGGAAAATGCAGGTTTGACACGCGCTGTTTTATTGATTTATCTATATTGGAGGTTTTTACAACCGATACTTTGAGCTTGTCGCATCACGTTGCGCTGTAGCTCTTGGCCCCAGAGGCCCCCTTTTGGTTTCTCCTGGGGGGCTGACGCCATGGTGCGGTGGCGTTTGTGGGCCATTGGCCTTTGGTGGGCCATGAGTCCGAGCGATGGGTGGTGGCAGACCTCCGGGGATGTGGACCCGGACCCACCCAACTCCACTTGTTGGGAGGAGCCCCTTCTTTGCCTCCAGAAGCGGGTGAACTCGACCGTGGCCGCTGCCCAGGCGCAGTATGCCACCCTGACGACCTGGGATAGCCTGGCTTGGACTGTCCTGGACACCCTGTTGTCCGGTGCAGGGTGGCTGGTGTTTGGGCAAAGCTGGGCCAGCGTCAGGACAGGCTGCTCCTTGCTCCTGCGGGTGGCCTTCTTGATGGCGATCTGCATCGTGCTCCACTACTTCCTGTCCTTGGCCTGGCCGTTGTGCTCCTTGGCCATTGGGACGCTTCTGACGGTGGTGTGGGTTGTTCGGGCCATGGTGCGATGCTGCGGGCGGGTCGCGTTCTACACCCAGCGGATGGCCGGGGGTGTGCCCGAAGCGATGGGAGCGACTTTCATTGGCCCAGATACTGGTGAGATTCCCGAAACAGCTGACCTTCGTAAGATGAAGAAAGGGACCAACGAGGAACGTTGGGTTCTACTACGGAGGGATGGCTACGTGGTCATCATCAAGGTCATCGAGAATGCGGCGATCAAGTCCAGCGGCATCTACCTGCACTTCGACCCTGAGGCGACTCGAGGAGATGCCCAGCTCTTGCTTGCCCTGAAGGGCTACGACAAAGTGCACCTATGTAGGCACGATACGTGTCCGGAGGAGGGTCAGCACTTCAAGAGCTACGCCTTGGCTCGGCAGCTCAACCCCGAACGCTTCCATCTCCTGTCATCAGCGGCGGGGGCCCAGAAGACGGGAATGAAGACGCTGGGATGGCTCTTTTCCAAGGCCAACAAAACGGCCAAGCGGCTGCAGGACTATGCGTCCGAATCGGAGAAGGAAGAGGCAGGCGGGTGCAGCGCTCACTGGGTGAAGTGGGAAGGTGAGATGGGCAAGACCTGCCTCAGCGACCACCCTTGCAAGAACCCCGGTGCCACGGAGGTTGAGATGTTGGAGGAGGATCGCGAGAACCTTCCTGTTGACCAGCCAAGCACCCTCTGCCCTGCTCACGGCGTCCGCTACCTGACCTCCAGAATGGCTATGAAGTGTTCCTATGGGGGATGCCAGAAACTGGGAATGGTGACGAAACAGGGTTTACGCCTGTGCGGGGTCCACCAAGAACAGGCTTCTACATCGTCAAGGCGTTCATCACGGTCAAGGTCTAGGGCAAGGGAACCACCTCCGGGAGAAGGCGAAGGAGATGAACGTGGAGATGGAGAAGGTGATGATCGGGCGAGACGCCGTGGAAGAGGTCGGGAGGTCTCATACCAGGAAGATGAGGCTGAGTCATTCCTTCGGGGGGTGAGAGAGGAGAAGGAGGAGGAAACTCCGGCGCTTCGTAGAAGGAGGGTCTCATCCCCAGGTCACACTCCAAAGTCCTCAGTTCAACACAGTTTGGCCCGGATGGGAATGATTAACTCCCCGGATCGACGTGGCGACATGACCTACTTGGAGGAGTTCATGGAGCAGATGGCAGATGGGAGAGAGTTGCAGCTCAGCGAAGAGGACATCCGGAAGCAGTTGGCCGCGCAAGCCGGGATGACTGTGGGCGATCTCACCAGGCACCTGTATGAGCAGGCCACAGAGGAACAGAGGAAGGGAACAAAAGGGCTGACGAAGTTCCTGGCCAAGTGGCGTCAACAGGCAGCAGCTCAGGACCAGCCTTCCTCTTTGTCAGGATGAAGCTTGGTTGACAAGGAGCGAGACAGTTCGGCACCCACACCATCCAGTTCGGCATCGGGAGCGAAGACTGTCCTGAGCCCGGGACAGAATGAGACACCTCCTAGACGGAAGCTGGCCACCATACCCCCACCGGGAATCTATGACCCAGACCGGAAGGCCGGGACGGGGCCGGACGGGCAAGGCAGCCACTCTGAGATGACCGACATCGCGAAAGCGATCCAGCAGCAAACCAATGAGTTGGCCACGTTGGTCAAAGCTCAGCAAGAGACCACTACAGGGATGGGCGGCTCTTTGAAAGGTTTGGGCAAAACTTCTGAAGAACTGGTATTTTTGCTGCGTGCATGCGGTGAGTACACCGTACAAGTCGGTGATGGTGAGTACGGAGCACCACTCGCTCAAGCGCTCCTGGCGGCCCAGGCCGGCTCGTCGACGAAGTTGCGAAGTGCTGGATTCCGCCAAAAAATCACCTCCAGGCTGGCCATTGGGATCGCAGGACCCTACTGGGGCACGCAGGAGAAGTACGCTTTGAGCGCCTCCGACTTCGTCCCCTGCACGGACGCCGAGTTGGACCAGTTCGCCATGGAGAGCAGGACCGGCAAGCCCGTCAATGAGCAGAGGCCAACAGCTCCTACCCGCTATGAGGACTGGCTCAACCGAGTGAAACGCCAGAACGACATCTGGGCACTCGTGTACGGCCTGGAATGGAAGGCGGTTCGGGAGCACGCCATCAACCTGTTGGGAGAGTGGCATGTCAGTGCTCCTCACAAGTGGCCACTACAGGTGCTGCTGGATGTATGGCAATGTATGGGAGGAGCTGCATTGGAGATTCCTCGAAGAACTGAAGGAGGAGCTGAGGAAGATCAAGCGGCTTTCGGGTCGAGAATCCATGACGTTGCAGGATTTGAAGTTTTATGCCCTCATGCCAGACGAGGAGGGGCGCCCTCCTTTGAACCTCCCGCAGACCTTCGATCTGAGACGGCCAGAAGGATGGTTCATGTCTGAGGTGATGCCTAGGATCGAGAGACGCCAAGAGAGGATGCTCTGGAAGATGACATGGGAAGGAGCAGGGAAAAGCAGAGCCCAAGGCCAATCAGCAGGAGGAGACGGAGGACCTCGTGAGGAGAAGCTGACTTTGAAGACTTTGTTTGGCCCAAAGCTCACGGCAGAGGAGACCGCCAAGGCCAAGGACCGGGCACCCACGAACAAGGATGGCAAACTGTTGTGTTGGGGCTACTTGACCCACTTGGGCTGTTCTCAACAGGGCTGCCAAAGAGCACATGAACCACTTCGGGGACCTTTTGAAGCTCTCGATCCGGCGGTGCAACTTCAGATGCTTCGGAGGGGAGGCTTGAAGAGGATGAAGGCAGAGACGAAGGAGACCGCGGCTGAGAAGATCAAGGAGATCCGGGCTGGAGTGGCAAAGGATAAAGCCGCGAAGGTGCAGGACGGCAAAGATCGCCGAAGGGCTGGACAGGGCGAAGGAGGCAAGGATGGAGATCCAGAAGGCCCTGAAAAGGCAGGAGGGCGAGTGCACTGGGAGGCACCGGAGGAGATGGTCCAGGTCGACTACACCCACCAGGAAAAGGACTTCGCAGACTTGGTGACCGGGCCAGACGATGCGATCTTCGACCACGTCCCGAGGGACGCCCGCCCGCATGCGGGAAGACATGGGATCTCAGCCCCTGCGGAAGCACAGGATATGGTGAGGAAAGCTCAAGCTCTGGCCACGGGTCCCGTGTTGGGCAAACTGCAAGAGGCGTCTGACGACCTGTACGCCTGGGCATCCACCAGGGTGGCCAATGATCCCGCAATCTCTTTCGAGGCCCTTTTGGAGGAGATGGTCCAGTATGGATTGGGAGAGCTGGCAGCAGAGGCCGCTTCCTTGCTGGAAGCCCATGGTCAGGGCCTGAAGGCGGGTCACCAGGCACGATGCCAGCTGGGAGACACTCGGTGGGAGGATGAAGGCCCAGGGAGAGCTTTGGTCCACATCGATGGGGAGCCCTGGGCGTTGTGGGATTTCGGCGAGATGGTCTACATGACTGAGGAACTTGCGGGCCTGCTGGGGGTGATCGAGCCGGAAAAGGAGAAACGGCAGTGTGTTACTAAAGTTCTAGCGGCAGGCTTGCACTTCGCACAGCAAGGAAGGGTCCCGACCATGGAGGAGGTGGAGAGAGGAACGCAGGAATTCCGGCTGGAACAAGCCAGATTAGCTGTGGAAGCTGAAGGGGTCATGGGGCACCCGGAGTCCAAGGTGGCACCCGTCGAGCACGAGTTGCGGATGTATGCCCATGACATCCTGAAACCACACCACGATAAGGACTACACTCTGGCAGCACTGGAAGAGATGCGGGTCATCGTGGTGCGGGTCGACTATAAGGGGGACCTCTTGATCGAGACGGTCACGGGCAGCCAGTGGACCAAGTTGGACATCTGGGTGATGATTTCAAAGGGCCACATGACGCTCCTCCAGCCACCGTCGCAAGAGGCAGGCAGGACTCTGTTGGGAAAGGAAGAGGTGTACAACACCCCTTGCTTGGGCTTTCGATATTTCTGGCATCAACGGCACGATCAAGCCAAGACAGCCCCGGGAATCATCTCATGCCGGCACTGCAGAACTCGCAAAGGAGGAGGCAGGGACGAACCGGTATCGATGGGCTGTCTGCGGAAGACTACGTGCCTACCCGCTCTTTCGCAGGTCTTTGCCGGCGGCGGCCAAGCCGTCCGACCCATCCATGAAGCTCGAGGTCAGCAGGGCCTCGTTCTCCAGGAGTATTTTGCGGGCCATGGGGTCATCACCATGGGATGGCGGGCTGCCAATCAGACAGCCCTGGAGCCCATTGAGTTGTATGCGCAGCCGCACCAACAGCTTGGACCACGCCCTGAGCACGATTTGGCTGACCCGCTACGGCAGGAACACTTTCTGGGCCGCTTACGAGCACGGGAGTCCAATGTGCAATGGATCGCTAGTCCATGTACCACGTTTTG